TACAACAAAAGAATACGAATTACTTTATTTTTTTTACCAAGTCGAAATGAAGCCTTTTTACTTGGTCTTTGCGTAAATCGGTATAATACTCCATAGCCAATTGAAGGAGTTTAGCTTCTGTAAGATCACTCAAATGCCTACAAATAGTCACGCGTTTATTTAAGCTCACGCATATTTCTGTCTAATCGTCGCTATAACATATTTATATTGGAGTGAGCATGTCTAGACAAGTAATAAAAATAAAACAAAAACCTTTTCTGAATACTCTATTTGCTTTTCATCTTTTAAAAAGGTTTTAGAGATTAATTCAAGGGCTGCTTTAACAGTGGCCCAATCTTTCCCATAAGTATAAACGGCTTTAAGTAGATAACAATTTGCCCCTATGGTCCAATCCATTCAAATCCAACCACTGCTGTCAAATGATTTAAACAAAAAAATTTATTTGATAAAAATGCTAGCATTATTACTTAGTTATTTATTTTTATTATTTATTTAATAAAATAGATTAAAAATATATTGTAGAGCACATAAATGTCTCTAAAGACAGCTGGCTCGAACGGTCACAAGTGGTGGAACAGAGGGCGGAGACTGAACATGAGATAGATTTATCCTATACACATAGGTCTGCTAATTATGGTATGTCTGCTGCGAGACGCAAGATAAGAGAGTCTATTGGAATTAATTGGTTTTGCAATATGCTGATTGTGAGAAATGATGATGGAAATTTGAATACGAATTGCTAAACTTGATTGAAAGATTGAAGGAGATAGAGGATGTTGATCTATCCTCCAAAAGGAAACGACTCAATTTTTCAGATAGGTGATGGTTCTAAACAAATTCGCACTTATTTAATAGGCCTGACTACCCCATCAACCTAAATAGATGTGCAAGTCCTATGCAATCCCAGCCATGCTTCTTCCTGGGTCATCAAGCCTTAATAGATCAGACGAACGTGTTCAGACTGGTGGTTTCCTAGCCTGAAGGTTACGCGTACAGACTTACAGCCAATCACCTCAACCAGGGCTACTTATAAACTAACGCAATCCCGGTCCTGCTTTTTTATTAGATCATAAGGCTTTGATGACCCGTGCCGAGATTATGCTCTTTTCTCATTAATCTGAGTCATAAACGGTCTTGCGAATACATCAATCTTCATTCCGCTGCAACTCTCTAAGTTTCCTTTTGAGGTAAATTCACTAGCCTATCCCAAAAGACCTTTTATTCAAAATTGAAGGTCGATTAGCAATATAATAAATCTTATGACAGGGTATTTCTAAAAACCCAGGAAATCAACTTGATCGAAAAGATAATGAAAATTTTTTTCAAAATTATATTTGGAGTTTATAAGCCAGATCGCTTTGAAAGGTGATTAGTAGGAATGTATCAACAAGTAATTTGGAAGGAAACTCGGCTGATTGATAATTATTCTGTGAATAAAAATAAAACTAATAAAAATACACAATATGAACAAGAATCAAACAGAAAAAGACCTTAAAAGTATATCTTTGTAGCCTGAGAGGAATCGTATTAAGATCCGGGCCAAATGGAATGACATTGATATATAATTATAGAAAAGAGATAACCACTTCTTCAAAATAGTAAAGAACTGAGAAAAATTACTCCTTATAAATAGGAGAATGGAATGCACGTTTTGCTAGAGTCCTTGTTCATATGCTGATAAAACACAAGAAATTGCAAGAAAAAGATACTAAAGCAGGAAAATTTAGATAAGAAAGTTTAGGGCTGATAACTTGAAGCAAGAACTATTTGGAGATCGGCCCAAAAAGATGACCGGGAGATTCAGAAGAGACGGCCCGGCGGCGTGGCATTTGTTTAAGATGGCCACTGTTTTCTAGCTGATCAAGCAATTGGGAATTGGAAGCAGAGGGTTGACGTGCTGAAGCAATTAGGCCGTGATCACAGTCTGTAACTTCTGGCTCTAGTTGACGCAATTGGCGGAGGTTACCGGTGTCTGAAAGCCATTGAAGGAATCGACGATTGACCAGGGACGCTAGAAAACTACACTTTTCTTCGTCCATTTGCGATTTCTTGG